AGGAAAGAAAGGAAAGAAAGGAAAGAAAGGAAAGAAAGGAAAGAAAGATACTGCCTGAATTAAAAGTCAAGCTAGCTAGCAACCTGGATTCACAAAGCTAGCAGGCAATGACAAGGCCCATGTACTAATGTATTGGTTTTTAAACCATCAACCTGCAAGAAAAGCAGGAAAGCTTTCTCATGGCATCTAATCAACTACTGGTGAAACAAGATGCCAAATTCCAATTCAATTTCCATTAATTTTAGTGAGGATCCAGAGTTCTCAGCTCTGTTTGCTTGCAGCAGATCCTTTGTCTGAAGCATTTGTTTGTACGACCACCCACACAGACACCACTGAGCCATTCATGGATTAGCAAGACAGGAGCACCAGATATTTCTGAAAGCTGTTTGCAGGATCATTTCTGCATACAAAAATAAAACACTCCGGAGGACAATCATTTAATTACACGTCTCCTATAAAACATAAAAAAATAACAACAGCTAAATGTGCTTGGGTACCAAACGAGATTACTAAGTTATTACATAGAAATGAGCTCCAAAGCAAAAAGCAACGCACGTGAACCAGTAAAACACCACTTAAATAAACATAAATGCCTCTCTTAAACATGACAACATCCAAAATCAATGAATAGACACTATATCAAATTGAAAACAAACAAACAAAAAAGGAAAAATAAGCCTGCTCACCCAAGTGGTATTTTGCTCTTCTTGCTAGAATTTCTCACTAAGCATTGATTTCTAAAGAGCGCCATACACGTGAAAGCTATCTGTGCTGTTGTTTGCTCTAAGTGCTCTAACTGTAGTTATTTTTGCAGCAACCTGGAACCAAAATTACGAACTTGCAAATGCTTTTTTGAAAAGGCAATTTAAAAACAGTATTTTAAGAATTAGATCCACCTTAACCTGGAACTAAATCGCTGTGGTATCTTTTGACCTTTTCAAACTACGTCTTAGGCCAAAGGTAAGGATACGATCTGTACCAGGAAATAAAACACCACCTTTGATCATTTCTCCCATGATGCACCCAACTGACCAAATGTCAACTGAAAACAAAATGCAATGATATTAACAGAAAAGATAGTTATCAAAATAAAGGAAATAAAAATATCGAGACGCACACACACGTGAAGTGACTATAAAAAGCATGTGTAATGGAAGTGAGTGAAGGTGAACGTACGCTAACTACAGGACCAGCAGAGACTATGTCCTACTGCTAGGTGCAGCCTGACTTAAAATGAAGTCCTTAATTTTTTTTTTTTCAGTGTTATCACAAGAAAAATTCATGTCCATTTAATAAAAAAAAAAAAAATTGTACAATATGCATTTTCATGACATAACATCAATAACAAGGTTAATCACTTCCTAACTAATTCAACATGCTGCAGCAGCACAAGGATACAGTCCCTTCCTGGAAAGAGGATTTTGTGGCAAACCATTTCGCCCATAATGCACCCCACAGACCATAAATCCACTATGTTTGTAGCACAAAAAGAAGGAAAAGCAAAGCAAACGGTCATTTAAAATTAAAAGAAGCATAACATGACTGCATTCTATAAACTGCAGAGACAGCACAGGAAGAGCAAATCTTTATATTAATCAATGAAACCACTTTTAAGAACACAGTATTTAAGGATTAGCTTTTAACTGTCTCAAATACAAGGCAGAAAACCATCCTTTTGTTTAACACAGTGCGAGAGCAAGAGCTACAGCAGAGGGAGAGATACACACGAATCAAGCAGAGTAATGCGCATCTTCAAGTTCTGAGGCGTGCAAAGCTCTTTCAGTAGAACAGTCGGATCTCCAAGACAAGTTTATTGAAATTTTCATTTTAACTATAGGGATCATTTTAAGAGTAGTAACCAAAAATGACCTTTCAAAATACGGGATACCTGAATAGTTAATACTTTCAGCAGCAGAATTAGTTGTTTCATAGGAATTAACATTTGCCATCAAGTATTTCCCGTAAGTCAGATTACCATGTATATCTCTCTCCCCTTAAACAAGAAGCAAGTACAATCAGTAAAAGATCACTTAGAATTTTAGAGGATCAGTTAATGACAATATTAGTACGCTCCTAAGAGATTTCAAGTTAAAGTTCTTTGGTTTAAGAATATTTCTCTAGTTCTGTCAAAATAACATACAAACAAAAAGCTCAATAGCAGTGTTTTTTTGTACAAAAGATTATTTTCCACAATATCTTAAAATAAATCATTCAGAAGATACACTCAGAGATGCACAAGTTCACTTTTTACAGGTATGCCAATTTTTCTGAAGTTGCATCAGAGAAACTCTATTAACTCTGTATGCAAATGTTTTCTTCATGTCATAATTATGCATCTGTATTATGATGAATAGTTTTATATCAAATGTAAGACCAGAATTTCAGTTAAGCAGAGAAGAAGGGGATTTAAATGAGAAAAACTGTATGCCAAAAATCACATTTGAAAGTTGCGAGGGAGCTGAACAATTTCAAGCAGACAACATTGCTTCTTATTGAAAACATTCCTTCCTTCTTATGTAATAAAAGTTCCTCTAAAATAATGTTTAAATCGTATGGCAAGAGATCACAACTGTACATATTAATAGGTCAAAATTAAGGGCCTGGTTCATTTAAAAATGTTTTATGATTTGTACTGTTTTCCCTTTAAAACACTTTCTGAAAGTTTACAGAAAGTACATATTCTGCTGCCTTCACAAATCAAAATATATTCAAATGTGCTGTAAATAATGTGTCCAATGTGATGAAAATACCTCCCATAACTGCATAGAGAAGTCTGGTAAGAGAAATAACATGAGTCAATGATCTATCTTCATACATCAGAAGACTCTGGGGACTAAGAAAAACATTACATACAATTCCTCTGTTTAACCTACAGAACAGAATGCAGAAGTCAACCCTTTCACCTGCTTGTTTGGGCCACTCGCTCGTTTTTTTTTAGTTACAGATTTCATATGCACATACATAGCACCAAAGATTACTGCTCTTCAGTATGTGTCTCAGTCATCGGTACATGTACTGATGTGTCCTCCCTCATCTTGAAGGGGAAGTGCAGCAGGGAACTGAAAGAGCATGAAGATGCCAGATGACCCTGCTTTAAATGTTAGTCTCTTTTTAAAGTGTTAATTGTTGTCAGTTTTTAATATTTAATTCTACATTAAACAAGTTAACCTTTACTTTAACTATGGGTTTGGAGGGCTACAACTGGTCAATGTCAACAGGAGTGGATCCTGGGCAGCCCATAGATCTCACTACAAGTGCATCCTTTCTACTTGCCTTGCTGCCCTCTGCAGCCTTACTGTGCTGTCAGTGGAGCTGCACAGGAAGGAACTCATCAGGCAGCGACTATGAAGAAGAACACAATTTATGTAAATAACCTCCTCATAACAACAGTACATAGGGAAGAAAATACAGGCTGCTTCCTGAACCAGTTAGCAAACAAATTCACATTCTATAGAAAGTGTCATTCTCAACTCAATGACCACATATTCAGGTTTTGGGAAGATGCTATATAGTTTTTCATATGAAAGTAAATTTGGATTTACATTCTGCTGCAAAACACAACTCACTCCTGACTTAGAGAAGGGGGCTGTCATTAGCACGGCCACTAGCAACAACAGGGTGCTCTAGAACACAGCAACAATAAACCTCAGCATCATTTGAATGGAAAGAATGTTTCACACTTTTGTAACTCAAGATGACAAATTTCATGAGAAAAATGTGAACTGGGCAATCTATGGCAGAAAACCTGAGACCTCCATCACATCAATTCCTTCTGCAAGGCAGCTGAATGACTCTACAGCTTTAGGGTTTTGTGACTATTGCCTCTTAGCTGGCCATTGCTAGGTTTCAGGGAAAGAAAAAAGAAAGAAAAAACTTACAGCAGTGCTTTCTACAGAACTTCAGCAGTTAAAAAAAGTAACTTGTGCTTGCTTCACTCGACATCTGTCTCAAAAGTTACAGAAAAAATAGCCAACTGTACATCCTATCTGGCAGATTAATGATCCAAACAGAAACATAAATCACAGACTTGAAAAAAGACCTATTCTCATTCCTTTGAGTTGGATTCTTCCACTGTCACACTGATAAGAGTTGTTCTTCCTGGCTTTCATAAACAATAACAAAAAGGAAATCAGTTTCTGTGAACATAACAGTTATACTTTCTGTACGACCTGAACTTGTCCTAATACTATGCAGTTGACAGGGAAGTATGCAGACTGTATTAAAGAACTCTGAAAAACACATCAAGTCCCAGTTGTGCCTGTAACCAAAGAAGCCACACACCTCACCTGACCAGGAGACAGCTAACAAAGCCTCTAGCACTGCAGCACCTCCTGGGGCTCACTGGAGGACTAATAGGCGATGTGTTCAAAACACAATCAGCAAACCAACGGTGACCCTTGTGCACAATGCCTGCCTGAGGCAGAAGCACCAGGTGAGGTGAACTGACAGCAGCGACAGCAGATCAATGAAATGACAGCAGAATCAGAGCCATAAATAGACCTGCAGGAAGCACGTGTTCCATTGGTTTCCTAAAGGATACTAGTGTTCATTTAGAAGATTGTGTGATTTTTCCTCAAATGCTAAATGCTTTCCTAAATTTTTTAGAGGTTACTGAGAAACAGAGGGCCAAAGGAGTAAAAGGAGGAGGGAAATGTAAGCAAGCAGAGGGACAAAGTAAACAAGTTTCCCTGTAACTCATCGTGGACCACAGAGAACCTATAATGCTTCTTAACGGGGCTCTGCATTTTTCTTCAGCAGCACTGTTTAGGAACTTAGTGCAACAGTTTTAAAGTGGGCTGGTTTTAATAAAAGCAATGCCATGGCAGGTGGCTTGAGCTTGTTTGTCACCTACTCTTGAGTGGCTTTACTGAATGTAGGGTTTTAAACATTAAATTTGGGACACACAATTACAATTTATGTCCTCATCAGGAATAAAATCAGACAACGGTATACAAAGGTATGTATCACATCTTAAGAAAACATATTTCCATTTCTTCATGAAGGAAAATAAATCCACCAAGCAAGTCACTTAAATTTTTAAACAAACAAGGCCCTCAATTTTTTCTCCTATTAAATGTAAACATTATTAATGGAATTAGATAAATAAATTGGTGTACCCAGAATCTGCATTTTGGTCACATGCCTAATTTATAAAATCTTTTACATCTTGAAAAAAAAACATTAAACATGTAAAATGTGGCGTGCCAAACAAAAAATAAAGCTATGCCAAAGAAAGACTATATTTGCTGACCGTTTTCTTTGTATCCCATCCCTAGGATGACCTCTGGTGCTCTGTAGTAACGAGTCACTACATAAGGCGTCATCATAAAACTAGTTCCTGCAGTTCTGGCCAGTCCAAAGTCAAGAATCTTCAAAGTGCAGTCTGACTTTACTACTATATTACTGGGCTTTAAGTCCTTTAAAAAGAAACATCATATATGACCACTAAGACAAGCACAAAGTACTCGTTGGTTCACATTTTTAAAAGAGAATACTGCTAGCATTCAACCCCACATATATGACTAGGTCATTTCTATAACTGCAGTTTACTTTCCCCCTTGCATTAATTCATATGCATTCAGCAGACCATAGAATTAATTCCCTTATTGTGCTTGTAGATTCATTTAGCAATTAAAGAAGGAAAATACAACTAGTGTTACAAGATATTCTAGCAATGTGTGAAATAAATTGAGGTTAGTATGAAATGTTAGCTCTGAGAAAAGGACTAGAAACTGTCCACTGGAACACCAGTTATTACTACAATGCAGAACACAAATAATGTGACAATTGCAATAATCATTACAATATAAAAATCAAAAAGATAAAAATGATTAGAATCATTCATAAATGCAAAAAGCAAAAGATTTCTTTGCTGGTTGGGGCTGCATTACCTCTTTTGAACCAATGCAGATATTTCTCTGAACAGGAAGGAAACGCTCATGCTCACATAGATCTAATTTCTCATTTAGGATTTGGTTTACATTATACCAAGTTTGGTGACCAAACAAAAAAGGGCACCAGTGAAAAACTGCCAGATACTTAACTATTAAATTGGAGTGAAAAATTACAGACTTTCAGAGGTTCTTAGTTGGAATCTTGGTTAACTTTACTCTCTCCAGTTCAACTTCAAAATTATATTAGCAACAGGGGCTTTGCAATGTCTACACAGACATTCTCAGTCATTATCTCTGGATATCTTACACACATCTGAATGTCACAGAGCAATTATTAAGGGCAGAGTAGGTTCAGAATGACTTTGTCATCAGAAAATCATTCATAACACATAAACCATCCATACAAGGTCGGATCCTTTCTAGTTACCTCTACCAAGAATAATGAGACAAAACAATACGATGTGGCAGAGGACTCCAGTATTTTAGCTGTGAGCATTTGATAACCAGATCTTTCTATCATTACTTCTTAAAGATGCAGAAGTGGTAATCTGCAAGATTTTCATTTGTACTGGTATGTCTTTCAAGCCCCTCGGAGGGCTAAGCTGCACTAAAGACAGAGAGGAAGCCAAAAAAGAAAACACAGGTTTTGGAACAATAGAATTTTAATGGGTAATTAAATGTCTTGCATACTTACATATTCACACACTCTTCTAAATCACACACACAAAGACTGTGAAGACAACTTTGGCTTAAAAGATTCTCAAATGTAATGAATAAATCCAAGTATTATGAGGCATTTCAGCTATTCAATGTGCATATTTCAGATTTTGCTAAAATCCTGTTATTATAAGCATTATTTTTTGTAGAAATCTATTATCTGGAGGATGTTCACTGAAGAATCCCAGGTGCATGCTGCTAATATCAGCTGTATTTGTCCTCCCCAAAGCTACAGGATCAACACTGAAAATGTTGAATAAATTTTCCCCTAGCAAGAGTAAAAACACTGTGAAAACAAAAACTAAAATTTAAAGAGTACTGTCCATCTTAGATTTCTGAACACTGCGTGTTTCTCACGAAGCCTAGGAGCATGTTTTCATGCAGGATACAGAATTCCTGTTGTTCAAAATGATGGAGGTGTGTTGACTTATACTGGATTTCAAATCATGCAAGACCAATACCTCATGTTTTAAATAAATGAGGACTCAAAAGATCCTGTGAGAGCAATTAACTTTGCTAGACTGTAGAAATACATCCAGAACCTATAGCAGAAGACATATCAAAATAACTCTTTTTTTTTTTTTTAAATCAGCTACATTTTTGAAGAAGTTTCTTTCTCTTTCTAAAGAGATTTGTGTGAAGGCCTTCCATTAGTAGGCACCTTTGTTAAGTACTCAAAATTAGGCAGAATACAGTGTTACAGAGCCTCCATGCAAGACTAATGAGATAGGTTGTGTCCTTCAGCAAGTTAGTAAGGCGCAACCCAGCAACTGATTATTCATCCTCCACAAACTGCAAAATATAAATGAATGCGTACTTGTAGACTTGCTGGAGACTCCATCTCTGCAAAATGCTTTGAACACCACAGTGCTCATCTGTCAACATTTATTAAAGTCAGCACAAAGACACAGTCAAGTCTTTATCAACCTATATCTTTACCCAATGCCACGAGAGCTAAATATATCTTCTGCAACTTACAGGTGAAACATTCCAAAATTCTGTGTAACGCCTGCCTCTAGTCTGCTATAAGGAAACACCACACTTATTTGCATGGCAGAGAGCATCCAATGCTACAGGCACACATGGAAAATATTTTAGTTTCAGTCATTTGTCAAGTTTTGAGAAAGTAGCTGAGATGGTATGATCAACTCAGCTATGTTAGGCATTGAATAACAAAGTTAAAAAACATATGAAACTATCAATAGCAAAAATTGCTTAAAACTTTTAAGGACATTAAATAAGTGCACTGAATTACTACTCAGAATGTTTCAAGGGCAGCCACAGTAGTGCAGACTATGTTTAAGAAACAAGTTTCAAGAAAGTCACTAGATCTAGATACTTGGGATAGTGCTGCTAAAAGATCAGAAGACAGGCATAAGGAGTTATTACTGAAGTCACATGTTCCATATGCCCTCTTTGCCTTCCGAGATCTTGTTCAACAGAAAGAATTTTGACACCTCACACTTTAAAATTTAAAGAAGCAACGCAAAAAGCAAGCAAGCAATGCAAAGATTTTGCTTGCACACACTGAAGCTTCAAGCAGTCAGAGAGCAAGTTGCAAAATGAAAGTCCACCAAGAAGGCATGCAAGTGAAATGTCCTTCAAAATCATTCAAGCACACTATTTGCATAGCAATTGTATCTACAGACAATCTCATTGGATTGGGCTATCTCTAAACTCTGTACTACTGCACAACATGAAGCACTTCAGAACTCCACCCATATTTACAGAGGCAGAAAATGTATTGGTAAAGCTGTCCTTACTCCTATCCAACAGCCCACTTTAGTAGTAGAAAAGAAGCAATGACTGTATAGATGTTTCCATTTATTACTGATTTCTACAGGCTCAGTTATTCAGTGCCTACTTTACAGCAGCACAAACTGTCCTTGAAGCAATGTCTGCACAAGCACTTAGCGTTTGCCTGCACTGACCCACAGAATCATTGTCTATTCTAGAACATCTATAAGCACATGCAGGGTAGGAAGGGCAGGGTGCAACAGCTGGGTGGTGCTTCTACCTATTCTTTCCCCAGCTCTTTCAAACACAGTCATACCAGGGCAAACTATGCGAAGAAAGCCTTCACCTTCCCTCCCTGAGCTCTTAACTAGAGTGAGACGACAGCAGATGTGTACTGGAACCAGGTGAGCAAAAGTGTTCTGCCATTTACATTTTATTTGCTCTTTATACAATACCCTGGTTCTCTTGAATGAGAAACAGCAGACTGAAAGGGAGTGTCATACTGCCAGTTCTAGCTTGCAGGCCACTCCACAATGAGCTGGGCTACTGAACTGGCAAGCACCGCAGTGTAGTAATGAGGTTGTAGCATTCAGAATTGCTATTCATGATTTTGCTGTACATCATCCTTGAGGGATACTACACAGTACTGACTGAAAGTACTGTGCATACATAAATTAATTTTTTCCTGCATAATTTCTCTCTATGAAAAAACATTACAGTGAAGAACATAACATTGTAAAAATACAAGTTTACAGTTTCCCAAAATAATAGAAAGCATATTGGAAAAGTTATAACTAGGCAACCTCAAGTAATCATCACACTACACATAAATATATATGTGAGATGTTCAACTTGAATAGGTGATGTTAAATTCAAAATATCCTAACTGGATTTCACATACAAGCCACTAGAAAAGTAATTGTCATTTTTGCCTGCAGGCAACCTGAAGGAATGCTTTGTGACACACAGGTGTATGAAAGCTCCACTCACAGGTCTTTATCATGATCTGTTTGTCTGGAAACTTCAAATACTTATTTTCTACTCTGTTAGTAAAGGAGCTGAAATAAATTGGGCAGTTCTTTCAAAAGATGGAATTTCAGGTTTGGTTACCAAAACAACAAAGGCGGAGGTGATTACAGATATTCTTTCCTGCCATGACTGCTAAAATTGAACACGATACAAAATTACAGAAGGTAATGCAACTCACTGCCATAATTATTTTTTTTTTGTCCTGTGCAGATTATTTTCAAATCTAGGAAAAACATCCAAGAGGTCCATTCCAGAATTACAGAGCAACAAAGGAAGCTTGATTTCCTTTCAGCTTTCTCTCCCTGTCCATGGCATAGGCTACAGAACACTATTTGTACACGCATTTCTGATTTTTTTCCTGACTCATTTATATAGAATCATAAAATCATTTAGGTTGGAGAAGGACTCTAAGGCAAAACTTGATGCAATGAAAAAGTAACATGGAAATTCACTTACCCTATGTATAATTCCAGCCGAGTGAAGATGTTTGATACCACACAGCATCTGATAAAGCAGATAGGACATTCGTTCATGGTCTAGCTCCATCTGAATTACTTGGCAGAGATTTGCATCCATGAGCTCCATTACTATGTAGCTTATAAAGAGAAAAAAAAAAACAATCTGATAACGCTGCCAATTTACTGTATTCTTTACCTTGTTCATCTTTCAATGTTAATATTTTTGAAGTTAATTCACAGCTTTAGTTTATATCAAACTTACACATCTTGAAATTCTTCTAGGGATTTCTGTGGTGTGAACACATTCAGTAAGCCGATTATCTGTAGGAAAAAAAGAGAGGAAGTATAATCGCATCACAGCAATAGCAAAGTTGCAAATCAACATTTCAAAACAGACATCCAGCATCCTGATACAATCTTCCTGGTATCCACTGAAGCACCAGATGCTCAGAGTGTCAACCATGCCTAACATGCTGTAACAGATGCTAATGATTTTGTGAAAAGTATTTATCCTCCAAAAGTCATACAATCTAAAAACATTTTGTGTGGATTAAAAGGTTAAAACCTGAAGAAATTAGTCAGTCTTTCCTTGCTCCCTACTTTAAATATAAAAAAAATTCATTAAGATTCTTATTATGTATGATGAAAAATTAAATGAAAAAGTGACAAGAAAAACTACCAAAGAGATATCACTTTGCCATAGACAGAGGTGAAGCAAAAAATTGATTCAAAGTCAAAAACAGCAATTTTATAGCATTTTCCAGTTGCTAAGAATGGAAGGTATGTGCAGCAACAGGTCAAGATATTACTCATCAAGAGTCAAGCAGGGTTGCAATAGTTAATAATCACATAAATTATGCTACTGGGTAAATTTTCCAGAGAATCCACATATAAACCACTTATTTCTCAGAAGTAAGGTTTCAATGATTCTTCCTTGACTAAAAGCCAGGGAGAATTTTCTCTTGCTGAAGAGAGATCAAGTGAGAAGGTGAGGAAGATGGCATACAGCTGTCATTTAAGGCAGAAAATGGCCAATACCAGACTTCTGTAATCTAAATCCAATACATTTATCACTTTTTCTCTCCCAATGTCTCTAATCAGCTCTGCTCCACAGCTTCTCAAGCATCATACAGTTCCTGCTGTCACAGCATGACTCCTAACTCATTCATGCATTACAAAATAAAGAAATAAATAAAAACTATTGCAGGCTTTTTCCTCCTACTTGTTTAGCACCAGGAACAGAAAGAAGAATGCAATTACCATTCAGAGTATTCTCATTTGCCAGCTGTCTGTAAAATGTAGCAATGTAACACCATCTCCCTTCCTGAGTCTGAAGGAGGAGTTTGAAGACTGGACAGGTATTAACACTAGCCTGCAACTGCTCTTCTCAGACCCTTTTGTACTTAACACAAACATACAGCCAGGTTCTGAAAACCACTACAATCTATAAACGATGTCATCTCTGAAATGGTCTTTAAAATGTTTACAAAGAACAACTACCTGGTCGATCCTTTAATATTTAAAGCAGAACAGCCCACTTACATTTTTGTGATTAACACACTTCATAAGAACAAGCTCCCTGTAAGCTCTTTTAGCGTGGGTTTGATTCTGAAATGGTCGGCTTAGTTTCTTGATTGCAACGTTTCGCTCAAGGATGGCATCATAGGCTGCACTGTAAATAAAAATAACATGATTTCATATCAGCGTTACAATCAATTAAGCTCAGGCAGTTTCTACTTTTCCAAATACCACGTATTAAGTCTGCATGTAAACAAAGCTTCTGGTATTAACCAGCTTCAGGGAGAGTAATAGCAAGGTGCTCATGAATGCTTTGCAATACAAAAATCTTAAAGATTTTCCCAGATTTGTAGCCCTAACACACAACAATCACCAATAAAAACTGCATGGCCTCTGTTTCCTAGAATATCTGCCTAAAGGTACTGATGTCTTGCCACTCACTAGCACTGAAGAACAGACTGCCTAAAAAGATCCAAAATGCTTTAAACATAAAATCCACATCAATTTTACATATAATCTTCTCACTGAAACGTAGGGATAAGAAGAGAGGAAAAGTAGGTTATACATAGGTCCCACGCTCTCATTCATGATGCAGCATGCAGCTGTTTAATATCCTCATGACAATATCCGCATCGACATCAAGATAAAACAAAAAAAACCAAAATGCTAGGAAAGCCCTAACAGCTTGATGTCTTCAAGGAAGAATAAAATTCTATTTGCAGATAGATGCCAAGATTACTAATAATTCAGTAATACAAGCTGTTGAAAAGATGAGGATTATTAGTGGGGACAACTCCTGTACATATTGCCATGACAGGAAGGCGGGGATTTTGTTTTCTGCAAGAAGTAATACAGCAGCTGACTACTGTGCAGACTCAGGAAATATTTGTCAGCTAGTAAAAAAGCCTCAGCAGGGAAAAATACCATTTTATTGTCTCTTACTGAGAATGGTACACAAAACTAATGCAGAACATCTGCCAGTAAATGGTCAGCATTTACCAAATACAATTGGAAATATGTTGTCTATACAGTACTTAGGCCTGAATGATTTCTTTTTTTTAGCATCATAAAACTGTATAGTTACAAGGGAAAAAGAAAGAAAAAATTAGATGAACATATAGTGGTAAGTTTTTTTTTTGTTTGTTTATATTTCCTTCATCTACCCATAAGATAGTCCATATCTTGCAAGAGAGAAGCAAAGAGGAGATCGGGAAAAAATGACAAATTTCTAAATCTGCAGTACATAAACATAGCCTTAGAGTCTGTTTCAAAGCTGAGCCTTTAGAGCACCTACTTCAAAACTACTTCAGCAGCAGGACTAGTGGAAATGGCCTCAAGTTGCACCAAGAGAGATTCAGGTTGGATGTTAGGAGAAACTGTGTTTAGGAACTGGAATGGGCTGCCCAGGGAGGTGGTGGAGTCACCATCCCTGGAGGTGTTCAAGGAATGTTTAGGTGTTGTACTGAGGGAAACGGAGTAGTGAGAAATATTGGTGATAGGTAGATGGCTTGACTGGATGTTCTTGAAGGCCTTTTTGAGCCTTCATGATTCCATGATTCTATATTCTTCCAAATTAAGCTGGATTAGTGGAAAAGAAAAAACAAAGAAACAAAAACACAACTCAACCCAAATCACAAGAATTACACACTATCTCCTTCACAAATGGGCAAAATTCAACCATATGCGTGCTCCAGTTCATTTCAGGGCAATCAGAGTGGCTTAACTGAAACAGCTTCATTTATCATAAGCATAATTTGCACATTACCCTGATAGTCTGCATCACAAGTTCTCACTAACTGGTGTAAGACACTACTATGGAACTAAGTGAAATAGGTCTCTAGCAAACTATTTTAAGAAGAAAAAGCATGTAGAAGCATCAAATATTACATAGAGGTTTTTTTTGGCTTTTGTTTCACTTTAAGCAGTGTGGCTTAGGATCAGGATTAGTTCCTTTATCCTTTTAATTTATGGGACTCAGGACACCTAAATGAATTTACACAGAAGGGCACCAGTTCTGATGCAGGAAGGGATGCATGTCAAAATAAACAACAAAACCCACTGTTGACGACTAATGATCATAAACACTATTTTTCACATAACGTATAACTGTAAAGGCACTCCAAAAATTCTATTAACAGAACCTAGAAGTGTGTTTACACTTTGAAGAAACCTTACCATACTATTCCTTGCGCTCCTGATCCTATCGGTTTTAAGTTTTGATACCGTTTCAATACAGTGAATGTAGAATCTCCAATTTCAACGCTGTAGAAATTGTTGTCACGCTTGCTTCTGCTCATGACGGCAACTTAGGCAGATCGCTTCATCCAAATTCTGCTCCTGGCTGCAAAGAATTAAAGAGAATTAAGATTTTACAACTGTATTTAATATAACAAAAGGAAAAATTCCCCATAACTTCTCGCAGAAGGCCCATATGCAAACATATGCTGCTTTTCATATCTGCAGGAATAAGATGATGCTTTGTTTTTAGGAATGTCCCTCAGACAGGATTCTAGAACAGAAAAAAAATAATAAAAAACAAGAATTGAATGATTGGCAGCAAAAATCTTACATAGCAGTGAACAGAAAGTCAAAAGGTTGGTTATGTCATCCCCAGAGCACAGAGCGTTGCTGAGCCTTTTCACGCATATGCAGCAAATTAAGCAAGGTCTGGACCAGATGCCCTCCAGAAGTCTCTTACAACCTAAATTGTTGTATGACTCATTCAACAAGATACAGGAGTGACAAACCATCAATACATTTTCCAGACATTGAAATAATGAAAATGTTCTTGGCTGCAACTGCCAGGAATGCCCATCACTGACATGGAAATACACAGAGTTAATCAAGGACAGAAAAGGAAAACTGGCCTTGTCATAGACCTCTCATCATAGCTCCCAGGAAACAAAATAAAAAGCAGGACAAGGAAAAACAAGTATAACATGAAAAGGACTTCTATTCCACAAAAACAAACAAACAAATAAAACACCATTCTGGTGTTAATAAAGGAAAATCAGTATCTTAAGGTACACATTCATAGGAGAAAAAAGTAAAATGTACAGTGGCTTTTATTGTACTGTACACTGTTTCTTCCTTGTCAGTTGTACTCTTCTAATTTTTTCTTTACATGGGGGTTGGGTGGAGTTGTAACACATGTCTAGCAGTGTAAATTCTTGTTTGACTATAAGAAATATCTTTATTTCTTCAAGAGTAATAGCATGGTATCTTCCTTTGTTACTAACGTATGCAACACTTACCCATATTGTCATTCATCATTCCCAAACCATTTATAATTAATAGTAGCATTTCAGCATGTAGCAGCATATTGAAGTTCTAGAAAAGCACCATCAGTTTAGGATTTAATAGCTTTAATAGATTCAATAGATTTCCCTGCTAACTGGATTCTTTGTTTTTAAATAAAGTGCCATACACTGTATCTGAAGAACATGAATGATATAAAATGTACCTCAACTTTCTACTACTATCTGAAAAACTCAGAATACCTCAGAATATTGTACCTCAACATATGTCTGCATACAGAAACTCTGAGTCACATTTTTAATTTAGTGCTCTACCTTTCAAATTCCAATACATGAACTGTTTTGTATCTTAAAGTGCAGTAAAGGAAAAAAAGAAGTCTACTTAGGCTTAAGATATTCCTGTTTATATCATAAATGATTACTTGATGGACAGTCAGTACAGTTCAAAACACGAGAAAGATGAAGATACCAAACATTTTATCTGAACAGTCTGTAGCCAATTAATGTAGTAACAAGCCTGAATAATTCTTAAGGTAGCAAAACATGCTTGGGCACTTGCAACCACAATGATAGGAGCTGGCATCCCTTCCCACTATGCATGAAGTCTGCTCCCACAAACTTCACATGATGTTACAGTGTACTCTTACATTGGCTGAAGCAGAAAGAGTCATATCACCCCAGATCATTAGATAGGACAGTAAAATGCTATCAATGGAATAATGACAGCAATACGGAAGAGAGATTAAATGAGGAAGGAAGAAGAGGTACCCTGAAGTGGAGAAGCAGAAGCATCCCCACTTGCATCTGAATTATCATTCCTTCTTTTGCAACTCCTTGTGCCGTAGTTAAAAAAAAAAACATCAGTCTCTGCTGCTTCAGCATGGGGTATAGTTTATCACTTCAGCTAAAATTCACGCTCTTCTAGCATAAAACTGATTTAAGAAGAGTCAGCTCTCAGAAAAGCCATTTCTTGCAAATTTTTATGGCAAACTAAGGTGAGATGCAAGTCAGTCACTGGGAGGCACTGAGGAAGCACTCAGGTCAGCAATGAGAAGTCTCAGAACATAAGTAATGCTTCTCTTTGCCTCCTTTTCACCTGGCCATTACAGCTTCCTTAGCCTGAATCAACTGGCATCCACTCTGTCTGTGTTCCAGCCTCCAAGTTTCATCATTTCTACACCACCGAGAATTTAAGCCTCTCAACTTTCTAAGCAAACTTACTTCTACTCAGTGCTTTGCTTCCACTCAGGCCAGCCTCCCTTGTGCCCACCACTCACAGAAAGTATCCTCAGAAAGCGCCTGGTAGTGTCCAGCTCTACAAATACAGCCCCTAGAACAAAGTCTAAAGGTTTCACTTCTTCCCATCTGCTAATTGACTTGTGCCTAATCTTACAGAGTCTAGCTTCAAAGATGTACAACACCAAAAGTTTTAGTCTTTAAATATTAAAGTAGTTATAAATGCAGAAACTGGCAGACTTTCAAGATTCTTACACAAAGTATCCCTACACTATCTTTCATTAAAACACAATTAAGCTATATCAGATAATCGTGCCTGCCTGAAATTTGACATTTTGCTCCACTTTCTAGCAATTCTGAAGAATTACGTACATGAAGAAAGGCAGGATGCAGATTCCAGATTTCTATTATTAATGAGGAAAGTGACGATGCACTTGTCCCATTAACTGTGAACTTGCCAGAACACAATTGCTGTCAGTGGGAAAGAAGTCTGCTAACCACTACAATTTCCCCTCACACATCAACTACTGTGCACTGCCTTGGAAGTATCTCGCCTAAACAAAGGTCAGTATGTGCCAGCCTTTTGGTGGCAGCCCTCAATTACTCAAGGTAAGGATATTCCAAAATGAGACCTTACGACATTGCAGTGTATTTTGGTACATTCATTTCCTAATTCTTCACATTGCCATAGGCAGTATTTACACAAGAAAGCACAACAAAAATGCTGGAAATAGAAATAACACTAGGACCATACAAGGGAAGTCCTTGTGCGTAATTGTTTTGAGTCCACTAATAGGGACTAGAATTAATTGGTTTTGCATGAGACTGATGATGGTCAAGAATTTCTGCTCATCGCTTCTTTTACAGTCTGATAAAGATGTAAAAACATGACAGTGTGAAAATATTTGGACCCACTGTACTTGTAAATGTCTTTCAAGACAAGAAGCAACTTAAAAAAAATGAATAATACTTACAATCACAATCAAATGTCTTCACCCAGCTTTAATTTAAACATATTTAAAACAGCAGTAAGATGTTAGAATAAAAGAAACCATGGATAGTAATGTTTATGTATAAATACACACACCTTCTGTCACTGACTTCTGTTTAAGTACAGACCACATACTCTGGTGTTTCTCAACAACACTGTTCTACATACACTTGTTGAATTCAAAATATCTGTAAGATAATGCACTAATTTTAATCTTTGTGTATAAGACATAAAGCATTCAGTTTATTATTCAAGACACCAGACAACATATGGACAGTGTATGCTAAAATATTTTTCCAGTAAGCCTAAATACATTGGATTTGGGGGTGGAAGGGCAGGATGGAGAGGTAATCCTATGTTCTCACAGCTTTTCCTTAAAATCTCAGTGCAGGTGCACTAAAAACCTTAGTAATGGCCAGAGACTTCAATAAAAAATATGAACAATACAGACAGATTCAATAGACCTGCCTACGAAGAATGCATAGACTGACTATTTTCAAAGAATGAGGGAGGTGATGTTCATGCCAGACCCCGCTTTCTTGGACACTTTATAAAACTATGATCTATACCTGACAGTGCTATAAAGGGGTCAGCACTGCAGCAGAACATCAGCTCTGCTCAGCACACCTCCACGTGCAATGTAAGTTAATGTGTTCAAACCAGAGCTGGCTGAGCTGTGGTTTATGGCTTTGTAAAGCTGATGGCACAGCAAAGGGTATCAGGTCTGTGCCATTAGGTCACTAAGGCTGGATTTGGGCAATCTGACTTTTTGCTTATAGGAAACCCTCAGAAGTTAAGATGAAACAGCAGACAACAAAGAGACCTCTTCCAACTCAAGGAGGCTGTAAGAGTTGTATCCCTGAGTTAACTGCAGAAACTTCATGTATCTGCAATTAGAATTTAATTGGAAATCTGCATTTTCAACTAGACATCTGAGTGTTTCACCTCAGTGCAGTGCTATCATCAAATAATGTTTTCTCGGCTATCACACCTGCGAGTCTGCACGTCAATGAGATGCCAACTCTGTGCTTCTTCAATCAGAAATCACTTTAAAAATAACACACGTATAATAGACTTCCATGACGCAGTGACCTGAATGCACGCACTCCAGGCACACAGAGGGAAAGAAATGGAACAGGCTTTATGAAAGAAAGAATCTCTCAGTTTATGTAAGAGCATGAAATATTTTATGACCTCTTCTGCACTCTTCTCTCAGAGAAGACAGTAACAGCTAACAGGAAAGCTTCAAAGATTGCCTTGTAAACTGACAAAAAGCATACATTTCAGACATCTCTCTCCCTTTGAGACAGAGAAGTGGAACCCAAGAGATAATTTTACCACAAGGGACATGTATATAGAATGCATACTGCCAACTTAAAGGGTGGAGAAACATATGCTCTGTAAAGCTAACTCTCTAAGACTGCTTGTTAATGGCCGTTTTATACCTTTGCTAGGCAACAAGAAATGAAAATCAAGGATTCATACCATGCTGCATTTGGCCATATAGGCTATAGAGCACAATGCCTTATTCTCCGTATCCATTTACATAACAAATTGTTTGTACTCAGTTGGATCCGACTGTGGTTAAGGACTACAGCCGAGAAGACATTTTCATACCCTAATGCTTTGAAATGAAATCAAATACGCAAAATGAGAAAAATCATTGGAAGGAACAGCCACCATTTGTTACAAGTTTTCTACAGCAATCTTCTGTTAAGAGCAAGCATAAATGAACTTAAAAGAAGAAAATTAGGACACACAACCAGCAAACAGTCTGTAGGACAAGATATGACTTAAGTACAACACAAGTACCAATGAAGATAGCAATCTTCACTGAAAATCAGAGGGTTGCAGGAC